TTCGATTTTCCAATGGTAAGGCCCCATTCACAAATGCGTGCACATACGCAAGGCGAGCATGCTCCCAGGAGAGACAGGTGCTGCATGTAATTGTGTGCAGTGGCCTGTACGGGGCGACGCAGCTGTACACAGACAATGCATGTATTTGGATGCAGACAGTGTCCAAGTACATGCAGCGGGACCTGCGCGGATGCCTGCGTGCAGCTGTGTGCAGTCGCGTCCTCCCATGGCGATGCACAGGCAGATGCACGCAATTACATGGGAGCAGGTCTCTGCAGGGGCGTGCACGCCTGTGTGAATGAGCCCTTACAGGAGAACTGTGAGGTGAAAGTTCGAGCCGACGTGTGACAATGAAACTGTCACACGTCGGCTCTATTGATCGGGAAGGGAGCGATCACACACCGGCGCTCGCTCACTTCTCGATCATCTCCCTGCAGAGAGTGGTCACTGCCCCTCCCCTTTCCCTGCAGGGATCCCCCCCCCCCCCGCTCCTCCAGTGCTGACTGGCAGAACGGACGGGGGAGGGGGCGGGCACAGCTGGCTCTGCCTCTAGATAGGCAGAGCCAGCTGTCACTCACGCAGCTGGGCGGATCCAGACAGTAATGTCGGGATCCGTCCCGGCTGCGGCGGTCTCAGTATAGCGCGAGCTGTGGCTCCCTATATACTGAGCTTAGGGTGAGGGGAGGACGCTAGTATATGTCCTCCTGTGCCCTTGAAGAGAACTATGGGGGAAAAACACTGACCCCATAGTTTTCCTTTAATGGGGCCAAAATCACGATCCTTTGCGACCGTAGTGACGAGGAAACTCAACGGATGAAAAATCTTCCACCAAGAGTTGGCGGGAAGCGGGGCACCGGACCCAGTTTTCTGGCTGGTTGGTGGAGTGTCTACGTGTCGCCCCATTGGCCTGGGTTTGGCAGCTACCCACAAAAACGGGGTTCTCCCCAAGTCCAGGGGTCACTTAGATCATGAACTTTGCCTGCAGTCAAGCAAATTGATTCTACAATTATCAGGAAGATGAGAAGAGAAATCCGACGCATTTCGAGGGTTCAACAATCCCCCTTTCTCAGGGCTTAAAGGGCGAGTTCACTTCCCAACAACATTTGAGAAAATGAACTTACCAGCATCCCAACCCCCCCCACCGCCACCTCTCCCTTCCCCGCTGTACATACCTGTGTGATCCCCCACCAACTGGTGCACGGGCACAGCCCTGCTGCATGTAATGAGCATAATGCTGGCCAATGGCGAGCACTCATTGGTCAGCACACAGTCACATGACCACACTGACCAATGAGAAGCACTCCTTACTTTCGGGACCTGGTCCCCGGCTAAGAGGTGCTTCTATTTGGTCAACATAATTCAAGGAATTTAATTCGCTCAGATAAGAGATAGAGGAAATTTTCCATTTGCAGTCAAGCAATAGGGAGCGCCGAAGCCACACTTCAAGAGTCCATGTAGGATGACGAGAGACAGCCACCGCGTTTCAGGGTCTCATCAATCCCCCTTCATCAGGGTTTAGGCAATCCATTGCACTCACTCAAACAGACTCAGAGGGTGGAAAGCGGTCTACTGTGGACACCGATTGGCTCTGATACACAAGCCCAGGCTCCCGAGTCCTTCTGAGCAGGCAGTGAGTGTCATCAATAGACCGCTTTCCAGCCTCTGAGTCCTTTTGAGCGAGTGCAATGGATTGCCTAAACCCTGATGAAGGGGGGTTGCGGAGACCCCCCAAAATGCATCGGGTGTCTCTCGTCATGAGATCATCACTCTTGGGGCAAATGGAGGCAGGCGCAGGAGACAGCTGGAGCAGCACAGACAAGGCACACCGACCATATCAGACGGTGCTTTCACTGCAGGATTGGGACAGATAAGTGCCAGTAATAAAAAGACGACACCAAAAACAAAGTGCCGCCAAGCCTCACTAATCCGAAATCCGTCCGGGAGTCGCACAGCGTTCACCGCGCAGAACCAGTCCGGCCGGTTGGTGAAGGCGGACATGCCTGAGCTGCCAAACCCAAATACTGAACCTTATTTACACTGCATGTTTACTCCCCCCCCTGCCCCCCTCCCCAGCAGCAGACAGGTATGAGAAGGGGAGGGACTCCTATATAAAGATCAAAGCAAAGAAACACGTCTGCTTTTATATTTCCAGCAAAGCCAGAGAAACAAAAGCTGGAAACCGATTGGCTGAATCTAATAATCCCAGCAGAAGATAAAATAAATACAGTCACAAAAGGTTTTTGGGTTTCCATTTGATTTTTAAATAACCCCCCTGCAGGTCAGGATAATGGAAGATTCCTGCAGTGCTTTGGCGCTGGAGCATCTTATTTTCCCCCCCCCCCCCCCCCTCATAGTTCTCCTTTAATTTTCTGTGTGTGTGGCAATGATGGGGGTTCAGCCAGCTGGAAGTAGAACATGAACGTGGAAATTAGGGCCCGTTCAGTGAGGGGTTTGGCTGGTATCCTCTGACGGAGCCCAAATGAAAATGTTTCATATTCAGAGGGGTGCTCAACCCAAAACTATTCACCTGGAAAAAAAATCCAGACTTGTGTCTGTAATTCAGAACAACTCCCTGGAAGTGACGCCTACAAATCCAACTCGGGACCACACACAATGCAACTGCTTCCCTGGAATGTATTGCTTTCAACTGACCCCAATGTAATCCAGGAGCCGAGAGCTGCAGGGGGGTGAAGGACCAGCATAGAGCTGCAGACACCCCCGGGACTCTCCTGCTGAGGAAACAGCAACGCGTTTTACTGAGTATCAATTTACAATTCTAAGAAAGGCCCTCGGAAACTTACTGAATTATTCCGCTCGACGGGCTCGCCCCGGACTCAAGATGGCGCCGGCTCGTCCAGCACCCTGTCCTCTCTGCAACTCTCCGACAGCCGTAACGAGCGGGAGCCGAAAAGGAGGTGGGAGCCAGGTGACCGCCAACCCGGCAAAATCCACGCCCAGACTGGACTCTGGGGGAGCGCAGATACGGCCTGGGGAGGGGGACGAGCGGTCTGGCCCTACTGTGCATGTGTGTGAGGAGATGAATAGCACCATTGAGGATTGTCCCACTGCTGATCGCCCCCTGCTGGACACTACCCTAGGGGACGTGCTTGTGTCTCTTGGGTGCTCCCTGCATAGAGATGTGCTTTTTGCTGCTGAGAAGGGATGTTGACGCCCTGGGAGACGGAGTCGTCCACGTCGAGGACAAGATGGGGGATTATGCGGAGGCCCATAACGATCTTCTCGTCTACCAACTGGCACAGTCAGGTTCTCCGTTGGGGATTAATGGCGGTTAAGATTGTACAGCGCTCCTGCACTTGTATCACGCTGCCGTTCAGAGGCGACACCCGGAGCTTTAGGAGAAGCTGCAGGCTCTCTACATCCGCGTCTTGTCACCGTACTGCTCTACAAAGATGGCGCCGGTGTAGTCGGCTGCCGTCACGACTGCTCTGCAGTCGTGTAAGCATTTCACTGCATATCATACTTGTACGATTGTGTATGTGACAAATAAAATCTATCTATCTACAATTCGTGACGTATTGCGGAAGGATGACACCATGCAAAGCGGACACAACGCACACAACGCACTGCAAAGCAAGATCTGGTTAGTGATCATTAGTGGCTGAAACAACGATCTTTGCACATTTTAGGGCACATGAGCCGCACAGTACACAAGTCTACACCCATAAAAAAAAAATACTGACAAAATCACCAAATTTAAATATCCCGAAAAATGCAAAATTATTAAAGGGTCAGTCCACACAAACAAGAATATTTCAGTGTTTAGAAGCTATGGCAGAATTAAACACCCGACAGTTTGTTTCTTTGTCTTTTGGATGAAATTATTTGTGTGATGTACACCCGCTGTGCCCATTATGAGGGGTTCCCACCATCCCTGTGCTGAGTTCCCGGGTCTGTACACCCGCTGTGCCCATTATGAGGGGCCCCACCATCCCTGTGCTGAGTTCCCGGGTCTGTACACCTGCTGTGCCCATTATGAGGAGCTCCCACCATCCCTGTGCTGAGTTCCCGGGTCTGTACACCCGCTGTGCCCATTATGAGGGGCCCCCACCATCCCTGTTGGATTTGTACATCTTATATGGAGAATGTAATAGGATCAGTTACCATCAGGGATGTGCGGGAACACCTAAAGGTAGACAGATCCAGGAAGTATGGGGGGAGATCTATGGCGGGGATTTGGTACTAAACATTAGGCACTTAGTGCAGAAAACGTCACTTTATATCTGAAATGTTACTTTTGGCTGGACGGACCCTTTACACATTCCCCTAGACAGGGCTGGGGAATGGCGGGGAGTCGGTGAGCACCGCGTTGTGAGCTTTGACCAGCTGAGGCTCATCTCTCCTCGCCAGTACCAGACTTCTCTATGAGCTTGTCCACCACAGAGCTAAACATCTCCACAAATAAGTTCAATTATAATGAAATCCCACTGCAATCGGCACCACGGGACAAAACAAAAACACCAATAGAATACCTTCGTGATGTCACGCTCGGTCAGTAACTGAGTGGTCAGATCGCTCTCCTCCGCACTGCGACCACTGCTCAAATAAAGCTGTCAAAATGGGATTACGAGAGGTTACATGAACACGGAGATGAAGGGGACATGCTGGGGACTCCACACAACTTTTACTTAGGGCTCACCGGTGAAATCTTACTCTCTCTGGAGTGAATGCTCCTATGGAGAATCCACCGTGGGGTGGGGTTGGGTTGGCCGTCGATATTGACACCAATTCCAACCCTCCATGGCTCCAACCAAAAAAAGTTGTGTAGAGTTCCCATTCAATAACACAAAGTGACAAGAGGTAGGAAAGGAGACACAGGAGGGGAGATTTATCAAAATAGGTGCCGGGTTCACCAAGAAACCAAAACGATACGTTTTACTTATTTGAAGGGTATTTCTAAACAAAATGAAAAAAAACTCTTAATAAATAAATAAAACCAGTATTAAATAATTAAAGAGGATGGTGTTATTTAGGGTTAAAAGAGAACTATGGGGTAAGTCTTTTTCCCCAATTGTCCCCCTCGGGGTCACAGGAGGACATGTACTAACCTCCTCCCGTGACCCAAACCTCAGCTCACTGTATACTGAGAGCGCCGCAGCCAGGACGGATCGTGACATTACTGTTGAGATCCGCCCAGCTGCGTGAGTGACAGCTGGCTCTGCCTATCTAGAGGCAGAGCCAGCTGTACCCGCCCCCTCCCCCGTCCGTTCCGCCAGTCAGCGCTGGAGGATGGGGGAGGGGAGGGGTAAATTTCAGTACAGAGACTCCCAACTAATTAGGACCTTTGTCCGTTTGGGGTCACGCTGCTCCTGTTGCGTATCGGGTGAATCTGCATCCTCCCCAGACAAAGAAGAGGGGTCAGGACTAAAACACACAACAAGGACATCAGAAGACATCAGCGTAACACACAATCAGCACACAACAAAAAGCGACAACCATCTGGTTTAATGTTGTTAAGATGTACAGACAGAAAATTGCCGCGTGCCCGAAATAAGCATATTAAAGTCTTTTCTTACATAATATCCGACATTTTGTTAGCAGCAGCGACAATGCAGTGAAAGCCCCACCCCTCCTCTAAATTGGAGCGCATCAATACGTTGACTTCAATCCACGGGAGCTTGTTGTATGTATTCCTTCAAAAGCCTTTAAATGATTTCGCCACTTTAAGTAGAGTATATCTAATAATTGCCACACAGCAGCTGAATGGAAGATCAGGCTTGCAATGGGAGTGGCTAACAGTAGGGGGAGGTCTCTGTGTGAGCTTACAGGAAGCAAACACTATACATTGGTACAATAAAGGAATCCCTGGGCCCTGGAAGTGTTGCGTTTGTGAAGGTCGCCCCCTTAGGCCCGCCTACTGGGAGGGGGCCGGGTAAGGGCACTACGACGCCTACCTTGCTGTTCTGGATGAGGCGGATGATGTGCTCGAAGCAGTTATTGCTGAGGAATATGGCCTGCAGCACCGGCCGATCGTGGCAGTTCAGCATCTCCGGGATGGCCCCTGAAATCAAGAGAAGAGACGTCAGTGGGGGAGACGACTGTTACATTGTTACAGAGCTCCGTTACATTGCTGTAAAGTCGCATTGCTGTAAGGTCGCATTGCCGTAAGGTCGCATTGCCGTAAGGTCGCATTGCTGTAAAGTCGCATTGTCGTCAAGTCGCATTGTCGTCAAGTCGCATTGTCGTCAAGTCGCATTGTTACAAAGCTAAAAAGTTACATTGCTGTAAAGTCGCATTGTTACAAAGCTAAAAAGTTACATTGCTGTAAAGTCGCATTGTTACAAAGCTAAAAAGTTAAAGTTACATTGTTTGTTTGAAAAAAAGGAGAAGTCCTTCGAGTTCAATGCACAGAAAAAAAATGAATAAATACATTGTAACATTTTTATACTTGAAGCGGAACTAAACATGGAAGGCAGAGGTGCCACATCCCATTCTATACATAGAAGAAGAACAAGAAGAAAACATTTTTTGGGCTTTTCAGGGGCCCAATGACATCGTCACCACACATACAGATCAAATCAAAGCATTTTATTACTTTGCATAGAACTCCAAAATGTCATTCTTAAGAATACAATATACATTTCTATAGCCCAGAGTCCCTCATAAGACGTCACACATCATCACCAAAATGTAAAGAGAACGCGTCTTCAGTCCATTACTACCAAACGCACGGCATCGGTCACGGCACAACGTATCCAGCGGTGAGATGTTAAAGAGACGGTATGCTACTATGGAATATTTATATTTACCATGATGCACTTTACTTTCTATCACTTAGATACTTCTAACCTTCTCCTGAGGAAGCTGCAGTAACACTGCGAACCGTGTAGAGGCCGTGTCACCCAGGTGATGATGGGCGAGGTGTCATTAGGACTATGGGCTATAGAAGTTTATATTGTATTTTGGAGTATTAAATTGCAACAAAATAAATTGAGAACCTCCGTATACAGAACCCCATAGCCACAGCTGACCCCTTCTCTGCACTCTCTACATTTCCCCAACACTCTTTTTTTTGTGAACTAGAGACAGACAGGAAACCACTAAATGGTAATTGTTACTCAGCCCCGGACATTATCTCCTCCTTGTGTTATATTTTTGGAACACAGATCCCACGTCTTCCCTTCATACTCAGCTGGCACCCAAAAGGTTCATTCTCATTCCCTCTCTTGCTCCCTCTCCCTCATTCCCTCTCTCTCATTCCCCCCCCCTCTTCAGCAGACTGATGAGCTCATGTCTCTTTTCACTCTGCTCTCTCCTCTTCTCCGCATGTTTCTTATTACCAAAAAAAAAAGCCCACCGGCACAGCCGATTGGCTCCCTGTGCTGCTTCTCCCTCCCTCGGTCTGAGCTCTGCTGAACAGGAACTGCAAGAGGCTCATACCAAGTCCTTACACTGACACTGCTTGCATTTAATAAATACATTTCATGATGTATTAAGGGGTGGGCAACCGCGGCACTCCAGCTGTGATGAACCTACAAGTCCCATCATGGCTCTAGCTCTGGGAGTCATGCCTGCGGTTGTCCGAGTCTTGCAATGCCTCATGGGACTTCTAGTTCCACAGCAGCCGGAGTGCCCAGGTTGCCTACCCTTGTATGAATGGATAGAGAGCTGCATTGGTTTGAGTGTCTTACACCCGCCTGGAGTTCAGCTTTCAGGATTCTGCCGGGAAGGAGCTCATCCACAGTACACGTCTATTGAATCATTCATTGTCTATTGAACATTGCGCCCCTCACAGGGGTGGCATTCCCTATCACACTGTTACATATTGCCTCGGACTTCTTCTTTCTGTTATCAGGATTACCCGGCATCCTCCCACTTGGGTACCAAATATCTAATGCACAGCGGGTGTCTGCAGACTTCTACACACAAAGGGTTCTGGAGACTGAAGAGCCGCACAATGGGTTAATAGTCCAGATATAGATTCATTCCAAGAACAAGTACATGGCTAGAAGAAAGAGCCGACTCGTGTCAGAGGCCAGACTTCACTCTAAAATTAGCTTAAAAATTCGGGATGCAGCGATACCGGTTTTACGGTATTGAGTAGGAGTACCGATACTTTGCTTGCGGTACTCACCAATACCGAGTACCGATACCTCCGCTGGCATGGAGCCGGCTTCCCGGGGCAATCAGGAAGCCGGGCGGTGGGTAATGACATGCCGCCCGGCTTCCCGATTGCCCCCGGAAGCCGGCTCCATGTTGTTTGGCCCGGCTTGATTGTGATTGGCTTCCCAGCCAACCAGCATCGACCAATCAGGGAGCTGGGTGCGAGTAATGACCTACCTCCCAACTTTATGATTGATCGGAAAGCCAACTCCATGCTAATTGTCTGGAAAGCCGGCTTTCCAGCCAATCAGAAAGCCGGGAGGCGGGTCATTACTCGCCACCCAGCTTCATTTTTGGTCGGGAAGCCGGTTTCCCGGCCAATCAGCAAGGAGCCAGCTGTTCGGCTCGATGCTGATAGGCCGGAAGGGCGCCTCCCCGGTGCATCAGCAAGGAGGCGGCTTCCTGGCCAATCAGAAAGCCGGGAGGTGGGTCATTACTCGCCACCCAGCTTCATTTTTGGTCGGGAAGCCGGTTTCCCGGCCAATCAGCAAGGAGCCAGCTGCTCGACCGTCTCGATGCTAATAGGCCGGAAGGCCGGCTCCCCGATGCATCAGCAGCGAGCAGGCTTCCTGGCCAATCAGGAAGCCGGGTCAGTACTCGCGGCCAGCTTCCTGATCGCAGCGGAAGCTGGCTCCATGTTCCCTTACGGCACTGCCAGTCAGAGGAAATCTTCCTCTGACCGGAAGTTTCGGTATTGGGGAAGGTATCGGACCATTTGGGCGAGCAATTGGCCAAATACTCGGTATCGGTGCATCCCTAATAAAAATGAAAACCATATATATGGACTGGACTGACTATTAGGAGAACCTTCCCTTCCTAAAACCCCACCACTCTGCTATGGAAAGCTCCAAGGAAATTGTGGAGAACCTTTGGTGTGTAGAAGCCGGCAGCCCAAAATCCAGACGCCCCATTTAAACACCTCTACAACATTATTGGACAGAAACGCCAATAGGATGATCCAAGGATGCCGCGCTTCCTTATCCATTCCTCCAAGCACTCAATGATTGGCATTCTGATCACCCCAATGATGCGATTCTCCCCCCCTCCCCCCAAGGCAGACAAGCACCCGGTACATACGCAGCATGTGGATCCGCAGTGTCAGGAGCCCCTCCTCCCAGTGTGGCCCCGCTAATCTTTCGGCGGAGTACAGGGGCCGGTCGCAGTTGAGGATCTTGAAGTAGCTGTCTAGGATGTGGCGGATGTCCACCCTCCTCTGGCTGGGGCTGCTGCTGTGCAGGATGTGGATCATGGAGATCAGACAGTTCAGAGCCAGCTGTACGATGTGCAGGTCCCGGGCGCCCTGAGCGACGCACCAACTCTGCAGGACCAGCATGAGGACCTCTACGGAGGACGGGCTGATGAGGAGGAGCGCGTTGGTCTACAAGAGAGGACGCAAAGGTTTTATCAAATGAAAACAAGCCGCATTATACTCTCCGCAACAACACACAATATATTGCCAAAAGTATTGGGCCCCTCCCCCTCCAAATCATGTGACTCAGGTGTTCCGTGACATTTCCTGGCTACTAAATATTCCGCCCGCCGTCACCTGTTACTGGGATTATAACAAAGTGGAAGCAACTGGGAACAACAGCAACTCAGCCAGGAAGTGGTCGGCCACGTCACATGACAGAGCGGGGTCAGCGCATGCTGAAGCGCACAGTGCGCAGAAGTCGCCAACTGTCTGCAGAGTCGATTGCTACAGATCTCCAAACTCCATGCGGCCTTCAGATTGGCACAACAACAGTGCGTAGAGAGCTCCATGGAACGGGTTTCCATGGCCGAGCAGCTGCATCCAAGCCGCACATCACCAAGTGCAATGCAAAGCGTGGGATGCCGCGGTGTAAAGCACGCCGCCACTGGACTCTAGAGAAGTGGAGACTGCTGATCAGTTGCTTGATTACACTCTGATGGCATTTAATCAAGCAACTGATCAGCTGACTGCACAGCTAATGTCTGCAGCACCCAATGTCCAGCAGTGATGGATGTCTACAGAGCTAGTGGAGATGTCTTCTTTTGTGTAACACTTGAGGTAGAGTGCTGTGTCATTTACAGAAGCCTTTGCTATACCCCCATGTAAGTCCCGCCCCCTCATTGCTTACCTTATATCCGGTAATAATGGCTCCGTAGAGGTGGACCAGGCGCAGTTTGACCAGTTCGGGCAGGCTGTCCCCATTGTGGAAGGCATCTAGTAGAAAACACAAGGAAGAGACAGGTCTACAGATCATCTAGAGTGACAACTCCTCATCAGTATAAGGAAGCAATGTATATTCTGTGACTGGGGTCTGATACCCGGCAATATGCCTGGGTGAGAAGCTGCTACAGGAAGATGCCAATCCCCCAACTACGGGGCAGGTTCTGGCGAAGAAAAGATTGGCCATCTCCGCTGTGGTGAAGATTCTCCTAACAGGTAACTTGGCACAAAAGCCGCTTCCACCCGGAGAACACTGCCCTGCGCTACTAATCCAACATGTGTTCAGGCACTGGGAGCTGGAGGGGGAGGGGTTTAGGCAGCTCATGGGAGGGTCAGCGTGTGGATTGGACGTCAGCACTGTGGGGGTTGGATAGTACAATGAGCAGGTCGGTGACACAGGAAGATGCAGAAGTGAACAGCGGGGTCACATGGTACTCATGTAGTGCTGCCTGGATCACAGGACTGTCTGAACAGAAGTACAAATGTGTATTGATCACTCTTCCCGGAACTTCCAGGAATGCTAAACAACCAGAACGCTGACCGGCGTACGGCTCGCTGAGGTCATATAACGGTTACCTTGGAAGAAGCTGCAGAATTCCGGGGAAAGGGACGCCGGGGAAAACTTGTATTTACTTTTCTCTTTCGCGCTTACAATTTCCCTGGAGAAGGAAAAAAAGTTGAGAGAATTTCCAGAAAGGAATACAACGAATCGGAACGTTTCATCATCATCAACCACCACCACCATCCTCGTCATCAACCACCACAATCGTCATCGTCACCATCATCATCATCATCATCAACCACCACAATCGTCATCGTCACCATCATCAACCACCACCACCATCCTCACCACCGTCGTCATCAACCACCACCGTCGTCGTCCTCACCATCATCAACCACCATCACCACCACCACCACCGTCATCAACCACCACCGTCACCATCATCACCCACCACCATCACCCCCCCCCACC